CCATTTTTACCCTCCCTTCCCCCTGCTAAGAAGCAGAAAAAGATAAGAACAAAAAGGCACACAAAAACACCACCACCACCAGAAACATAAATCACCCATTTTTTCACATTCTAGAGTTCATTTAGATAAATCGAGTTCTTTGATTTTTATGGTTTTGGAGTTTGAAATTCAGGACTTTTTGTTTGCTAGGGATGTGCTCTTTCATTCATGCTACATCATTCTTTAAATGATGTTCTCATAGTTCTTTTTTTTTTTTTTAGTTGGTTGTGGGGCCTGAACTCTGGGCCTGGGCATTGTCCCTCAGCAATTCAGCTCAAGACCACTGTTCAACCATTTGGACCACAGCACCACTTTTGGCTTTTTCTGCATATATATTTTTGAGTAATTGAACCCAGGGCCTCATGAATGCAGGCAAGCCCTCTACCAATGAGCCACTTTCCCAGCCCTATAAATGATGTACTGATAGTTCTGATTAGATTCTTTTGGCCTAGAAGTGGTTTCCAAGTGCCATTTTCCACCTAAATTTTCTTTATAGCTGGGATTACAGATGTGAAACCACTATGCCAAGCCTATTTGTAGAATTGTGGGCTTGCTCATCTTTTTACATGTCAGACTTGAACAGCGATCCTCCTGGTGTTTGCCTCTAGAGTACTTGAAATTACAAGCAAGCATCACCAAGTCCAACAGATTTCTTTTTTCAGTTATTCTCTCTACTTGTTGAGTACAGACTTTTGCCATCATTGAATTAGTTTGATTAGAGAGATAAAGGACCACTGTGTCCCACTGCCATGTTCACAGTTGTTTGTCAAGAAGATCATAAACACTGACAGCTTTGCTGTTCCAGGCATTGATCAAACATGATAACCCCAGTTTTGTGGCATGAAAAGTAGGCTTGGTTTATAAAAACTGTGACAAAAAGTATTTAGCTTAAGATTCAGATACTTTCTAAAAAATGAAATGCAGTTCAAAACTGTTAGGTTTTTAAAAGGAGGTAGCCGAGTTAAGAACTGCACCAGCATGCACGTGGTATTCAGGTAAGGGGTAGGTTTATTCAGTAGACCTGATGGGACCAGGCAAGGTTGGCACTCCACATGGCTGGGAAAGGCCTGGGAATGAGAGAGAGCTGGGAAAGAGAGGAAAGAGCTAGAAAAGAGCAGAGAGAGGGGTAAGAACAGTAGCACTCACGTGGTATTCAGGTAAGGGGTAGGTTTATTCAGTAGACCTGCTGGGACCAGGCAAGGTTTGCACTCCACGTGGCTGGGAAAGAGAGGAAAGAGAGAGGAAAGAGCTAGAGCAGAGAGAAAGCAGAGAGAGCTAGAAAAGAAGAGCAAGAGCAAGAGAGTGTCTGGGCCTGGGCTAGGCCTTATGTAGGGTATGGGCAGGGAAAGGTGTGGCCACATCAAATTCAGATGTGACCTCAGCGGATGCAGATGTGACCTCTTCCAGGTGTCCCAGTTGCCTAGGTAACGCAGGTACTGGGTGGAGACTTTGCTGCGAGGAGGGTGAAGTCTGCTAGCCATCCAGGAGCCGACCTTATATTAACATCAACAACAGTAACCATAACTCACATTTTAAACCTTTTCAATATCACAGACTGTAATCAGCCCTGTGCTTGAGTTATCTCATTTATCATCAAAACAACCCCAAAGTCTCTTTTCTGATGTAAATTACCACATGTATGAGTAAGAATGGAAGGAAGTTGGTATAATGAGGAGTTTGTATTGGTTTATACATTATTCTCTAGTAAATTTATGTTTGGATACAATCTGGAATGAAAATGTAACTATGCAAGAACATCTCTGGGGACAAAAAAGAAAATAAAGTAAACTTCAAAGAGAATATTCATTAGATTGTATACACCTACTATAATTAATAGTATTTTAATTTATCTAGGGATTCTGGAAATACAGATGAATGAGTTAGGGATGTATATCTCTGAACCTGAATGGTGGCTTATGCTTGTAATCTCAGAATTTAAGAGGTAGAGACAGAAAGATCTTGGGGTCTTGAGTTCATGATCCAGCTAAGGTTATATAGAAAAAAAACCCATCTCAAAAATAATCTTTTTCTCTATTTCCCTGAATTAAAATACTAGGCTATTAGTTTTCATGATGAAAAGTTCAAATTACTTTTCTTAATTAAAATTTATATTAAGTGATCCATATAAACAGTAAAATTTCTAAATATCAATGGGATTTTACCTAATGTTTATAAGCATTAGGTAATGTTTAAATGAGAAATATATTTGTTTAGATAAAGGTGAACTTCAATGTATATTGCTTTGCAGAAGAAGCACAAAATGAAATATTTACAGGCATGAAAACTTGATGAAAAGCTCACTAAAACTTTTAATTGTACTAGTAATTTTTATTTGGCTTATTTTAGTTTTCATCCTTCTTGTAGATCAGAGGTCATTTTCAGAAATATACATGAGTTTCATTATGGAAATCCCTGTTTAACTGTGGTGCTGATTTCATAGAAGAGAGAAAACAATTGAGAATTAATACTCTCTCCTCTTGAATATAGCTGGAAATCAGCTATATTCAAGGAAATCAAGGATTAGAGTCTAACTCTATCAGGCCCAGGGCCAGATTTCTTAGCATCTAATATAGAATATATTAGATCATCATTTTCATTTATGATGAAAGGAAACCTTTGTGTAAAGGGGTCCATATTGCATGTAATGCATTCTGCATAGCAGGTCTTTTCAGTCAGTGGCTTTTGATGACTATCATTAAGAACATTCACTTTATCACAAGTAGCATTCCTTGTTTTCTCTCTTAGCAACAGAGCCATTCACTTCCCTCTTCCTGGTGTCACAGTATCTCCTTTATTTGTATATCCTATATTTTTATTTTTAGTTCATCTGTTTTAATATTTAAATGAAGCCAAGGATGGGGAATGGATTTTCAGATGTATGGAAGATGTTAAGCACGATTTTTGTGAAAGAAAAGTTTATGAGGCCAGAGGAGACTTAGATGATCTCAATCTTCCCATATGCCCTCTGTTTTCTGGGGTCAGCTATAAAACAGACATCCCTGTTCACCAGCTGCACAAACTCAGGTATCCTGGGACCAAGGGAAGATACTCTCCCTGATAGGGAAAACCAATGAAGGGAGTTTATGGTTTAATTCTTTGGTGCCAACTATTTTTTTCTGATCGGCGACAGCAGAAGTAAAAGTTGTGCAGAAAACCCAAAATGAGCACTTGGGGTATTATTATTTTAAAAATATTTTAGCTTTATTTTTTGCATCTGGAGTGCCAAGTATTTATATTCACCTGTTGTTTCTCAGACTGTTCAATATCAGTTAAAAAGTAATATCTATGCTAGCATGTGAAAGATTAGAATAAATCTCTACCATTCAGATAAAAAGTATATATTTACACATTATTTAGGGTTTCTCTTACTGGAAAAAAAAAGTTTCTTTCAAAATTTCTAGACAGATAAAGCTCATTAGTACTAATATAACAAAAGAATAATAAAAACTGCTATTTTTAAATTGCTGAGAAAATTATAAAACAAGACCTTATTCCTTTCATAACTATGTAATAGTTTAACATTTGGGACATTAGGCCTTAATAAATTGTGAGTGTTATAGTTTGCATTACATTCTTCAAGCCTGATTCATATTTATGGACTAAGTGTAAATTCTCATGTGATATCCCAAAGAAAAGTCATTTTCCACTTCGTTCACTGTGTAGAAGCATGAGTCTATTTATTTATTTATTTTTGTTGGTCATGGGGCTTGAACTCTGGGCCTGGCACTGTCCCTCAGCTCTTTAGCTAAAGGCTGATGCTCTACCACTTGAGGCACAGCACCACTTCCAGTTTTCTGGTTAATTGGAGATAAGAGTCTCATGGACTTTTCCTGCCCAGGCTGGCTTTGAACCTGGATCCCAGATCTCAGCAGCCTGAGTAGCTAGGATTACAGGTGTGAACCACCAGTGCCCGGTACATGACTCTTTAGTTGCATAGCCACACCTCTTCTACATGTCCTGAGCTCAGAGTATGAATATGTGAAAATTATTGCTATAAACCATAGCACATTATTGTTTGGCAAAGGAACTATTGCTATGAAATGGAGAATGAGATTTAAGTTCCATCCAAGCTATGGGTGTTTAACTTGCAAGATACATGGAATTTAAGCAAGGAGAAAGGCTAGGAACCCACTTTGTGAGAGAAGGGGTAACAAGTTTGATAAGAAATGCAACTGTTACCTTATGTAACTGTAATCCCTCTATACATCACTTTGGCAATAAAGAAAAAAAAGTTTAAAAAAATGTACTCATCTTAACTTAAGTGGGGAGGAGGGCAAAATATATCAAAGCACCAAAAAGTTGTATTGAAATAATGTGTTCTTGTCGTCAAGTACCCCAAACATGTCTTAAAGAAGAATGACTTTTATTGTGAGTCTGCACACTAGTTTTGTCTTTTACATTAAGACTTATGTTTTATGGATTTACTCTAAGATTAAAGAAGAAGATGCAGTCCTCACCACGGGAGACTGTACTACTTCTTTATCTCTTCCTTTTTTCTTTTCCTCTGTTATTTTCCAGATATCTCTTTTCATATCAGAAGTCTTACTGAGTGAATTGAAGTACCAGACTGTTATTACCAGCCTATCTTTTGTTCAAGATAAAATTCAATGATCACCTTTGCAAGAAGCCATGGTCAGGGAGGGAGAGAAATCTTTAATGCTAAAGGGAAACAAAAAATAGATAATGAAACTCACCAAGGGTTTGAATCTTTGCCTCCTATGTTTATCTCCCCCAAAACATCAATTGCACATAGAATGATGCATTTAGTTGTGACTTTTTAGGTAATTTTATTTGTATTTATTTATTTACTTACTTATTTTTAGGAATGTTTAGATATACAGTTGAACTGCACTGCTTTAATAATAAAAGTTTGTAAGGTCACTGGGGTTTACAAGCATACTCTTTTGTAGAAGGTTCATTTGATTAAAATACTGTTTCATATGCCTTTCTTTGGTCCGAAGGTACAATTGTGGTGGACAATATGCTGATCAAAGGAACTGCTGGAGGACCAGACCCTACCATTGAGCTCTCTTTGAAGGACAATGTGGATTACTGGGTCTTGTTGGATCCTGTGAAGCAAATGCTTTTCCTGAACAGCACAGGCAGAGTCCTGGATCGAGATGTCAGTGATATTATTTTTTTTTGGTTGTTCCTATGTTATCACTTTATTATAATTTAAATGCCGAATGTATTCATCAATATAATATTAAAATTTTACATATAATTTGCGTTTATTTCCTGGGAAGAAAAGGAAAAAGATAGTATTTCAATCTGAAAAAAAGAATGACAAAGGAAAGGACCATTTGTGTCTAAGAGAAACAGAGTTCCCTTTTAATATAAATGACAGTTGACTATGTAGAATAGAGAGATGGTGACCTTGAAAAAGGAGGACAAACAGAGCTACAATCCATGCATCTCTAACAGTGGCAAAGCATAGTACCACTCAGCTGTTGGCTTGAGGACACAAGTTTGATGTGTATAATCAAAACTGGTTTAGCAATTGTAAGGATGAAGCTGTAGTATTCAGCTTATGTAGCTATCAAACAACAAAGAAAGAAAAAGAAAGAAAGAAAGAAAGAAAGAAAGAAAGAAAGAAAGAAAGAAAGAAAGAAAGAAAGAAAGAAAGGAAGGAAGGAAGGAAAGAGAGAGAGAAAAAGAAAGAAAGAAAGAAAGAAGGAAAGAAAGAAAGAAAGAAAGAAAGAAAGAAAGAAAGAAAGAAAGAAAGAAAGAAAGAAAGAAGGAAGGAAGAAAGGAAAGAAAGAAAGAAAAAAAGGAAAAAGGAAAAAAGATATGCAATACTTTCCCAGGATCACCCTAGTATGGTAGGAACAGGCAAAAGTATGCATCTTGACATAAGTGTTTTGTTAAGAACAGCTAAATTGCCAATGTTAAAAGTCTCACTTCTGATAAAACTTAGGAGATGCATTCATCTGAAGCATCGTTGACCTCATAATTACATTCTTATGTGCCCAACAGTGGAGATGGTTGTTAAAGAGAAGAGAGGCATTCATGACAAGTAATTAATATATAAAGCCCAGGGAAAACTACATGTAAACATGTTCACCCCCATATCCAGATGCATGATCTCCTTACAGTGTGCTGTGGAGTAGATGATCCTTTAATCTTTCATGTCTAAATTTTGGAATCATAAATATATCTCAAGCACTTCAACCTTTAATATGCCTCACCATGTCGTTTACTAACTTGGTCATTTGAATTCTTGTGAATTGCTCTTGGTTCTGCCTGGGTTTCATGGCTTCATTCCTCATTGGCTGGAAGCTTTTACTATAAAAATGTCTAACCCAACATTGGAAACTTAGACTAGTATAGATAGACAATTATTGATAAAATCTGATTCTATTCCAGATCTAATTGCAAGTGGAAGTTATAATTTCATTTTAATTGTAAAATAAGGAAATGGAAAATGTATTATTAGAAAAACAAAACCAAACATATGTCTAAGGGCTGAGAAGGTGGCTCGGTGGTAGAGTGCTTGCCTTGCATGCAAGAGGCCCTGGGTTTAATTCCTCAGTACCACATAAGGAGAAAAAGCCAAAAGTGGTGCTTTGGTCCAAATGGTAGAGCACTAGCTTTGAGCTGAAGAGCTGAGGGACAGCGCCCAAGCCCAGAGTTCAGGCCCCATGACCAACAAAAAACCAACCAAACAACAAACAAAAAAAACCCCACAATATATGTCTAAAAGCAATTTTCCTATCAGGGAAAATAGACTCTAGTACTTAAGCTGGCACAAATTCTTTGAAGGAGATGTGTTCTTTATTAATATATACTATACATTATGCTCTTGATAAGGTTTTATGTGTAATTGGTCATGTACATATGTCCATGTGGAAAATATAATTTCCATATACAATAATTTCAATAACTGCATAATGTTTTAGCATGAGCAAAAGCAAGCTCATGTTTTGGACATTCAGTTTGTTTTCAGATTTTAATGGTTACCAAAATGGTACGGTGAAAATTTTGCATTGGATGCATTCATTTTGGCATACTGCTAACACCTTTCTGAGCATGGTGGAGTCCCTAAACCCTCACTAATCGACTTAGTGGGACAATACTTGACATATTTATGAACTACTTGTATAGCAGAACAGAATGAATTCCAATGCAAAAATTACACTGGGTGTTATATATTGGCTACAGGGAATCCTTGACGTCAGCACAAAGCATTGTGGTTGGAATTTATGGCCTGCTAAGTTCTATCCATGGTACTAATAGTTGCAGAGGGAGCTAAAGTTGAGAACTACAACAGTTCCAAGTGACCTGGTTATGACTAATTTATGCATACTTAGCAGGATTAAGTGGAGACTCAGTGCACACAGCATTTGACTCTCTGTTTGAAAATTTGTGACCTTTCTGTCCCAGTGCTTCTATTCAGTTTAAAACCACAAAATGAGATGCAATAGTTTTTATAGGTTGAAATATTTAGAAGATAAGTAACTCCGGAAGAACACAGTTCATTTGAGTATCTTTAAAGTGACGTGCCAACAGTTAATTGACTAGCCCATTCTATCCGGTGCACTTGGTATTAGGAGAAAGGCCCCATTTACATTAAAACATAGGATTTGTAATATTTCTTTTTTTTTTTGGTTATGCCTCGTACATTGTAATATTTCTTATTCATTTTCTTATTTCTGCCCTCTGAAATTACCATGAACATTAGTTTACAATCTCTCTTCCTCCGAGAATTTATTAATATATTGTTTATCTAAAACCATAAATGTGTTCATAATATTCATCTTTGATTTTTTTTTTAATTTGTAAGAGCATTTTTTCAGCACTTTATATGTCAGTATTTGTATTGTGGTATTTGATTCCCAGTAAAACTCATTAAATCTAACATTATTTGATGCCCTATATATTGACATCTGAGATTAAACAAAAATATGGTTTTACAGTCTTATTTTTATGCTGTTGCAAATTTATCAATATTTTTATCTTATCATAGTTTCCAGGTGAACAGATATTTAAAAAAATCCATTTTGAATATCAACTGTATTAACAATGATGAGGGTCTTTTATCTCAATTGCTTTAATTTTTGAATATATTATTTCTGTATTGCAGCCACCAATGAACATACACTCCATTGTGGTCCAAGTCCAGTGCATCAACAAAAAGGTTGGCACTGTTATCTACCATGAAGTACGAATTGTGGTGAGAGACAGAAATGACAACTCACCCACATTCAAACATGAAAGCTATTATGCCACAGTAAATGAGGTTTGTAGATTATTTTTTCCATCTATGTAACTCTATGCTGTAATTTCTTTTACAAATAATTCCTCTATAATAGTAGGTTAACATATCCAGAATTATTTTTTAAAATTCTTATAAAAAGACTCTTTAGAAGGTACACATTCTGATGACTTCTAATGCCATTCCAGAGCTTTTTTTACTTTGCTATAGGAAAATTCAATTGTTCAGATTTTTCTGTTTAATCATCTTTGATTTAATGCATGAAATTCATAGAAGCAAAAGAGGAATGGGTGAATCTCCTGTAAGATACTGGCATCTTATCATTCTGTCATTGAATGGTTTTAATAGTGAAATGGTAGAAAAACTATGTTCTATATTCTGTTCATTCATTAAAAAGTTATTTTTCAGTTTTAAGATTAATTTTGGGAGGATATCCAGAAAATTAAGCTGTAACCACAACTGGTTATTGTTGTTGCTGCTGGTTGGCATTGTTTGATTTTGTAATCCATCTTGGTTGTTGTTGTTGGTCTTGAGGCCTGGACACTGTTCCTAAACATTTCTGCTCAAGGCTAGTGCCCTACCACTGTAATCCACATCTCCCCTTCCAGTTTTTGAGTGGTTAATTGGAGATCAAAGTCTCAAGGAGATTTTTTGGCCCAGCTGGCATTGAACCATGATCCTCATCTCAGCCTTCTTAGTAGCTAGGATTATAGGCATGAGCCACTGTTGCCATGCTATAGTCCATCATTTTTTTTTCTGATACAAATTTTTTGTTAGTACCTAGAGCTAGTAAATATTTATAACATGCCTCTGATCCTACTTACTATATATACTGAGATGCAAATTGCCTTAATATGGTAGTCTCAATTTTAGCAGATTATTCTTAGTTCCAAGATACTTTTAATTTTAAAAGTATAACCAGGTCTGATTGGCTAACGCCTACAATCCTATACAGTGAGGAAATGAAATCTGTTCACTCACAGTGCAAAGGCAGATTGGAAAGAAACATTCAGGAGACATTATCTCTAAAATAACTAGCCAAAGTCCAGTGGTGTGAGCACAAGAGCAAGGCAACAAACTCAAGTGCCAATAGGACCAAAAAGAGAATGTGCAGAACCACTTCCTAGAAGACATCATTGTGCTTTGGATAGCAAAACATATCCTTAGGTTGTTTATCTCTACATTCTCTCTGATATTAATTCAAACATTTTAAAATGTAAATACACTTAGACTTGTGAACATTTAGAGAAATCAAGTTTCAAATAACCCAGAATTTTGACATTATGTAACTTATAAAATTGCAAGTTGTTTACAGCTTAAGAGTATAGGCTATTGATGTTTTACATCAGTTCCTGGTGATGTATATTAATTCCCATGCCAATAGTTTTAGATCCAGGTAAATGTTTTCGTTTTTAGTTTCTGAAATATAACCTCTGAGTAAGATTTTGTTTTGGTCAAATGTTAACTTCCCTTAAATATAAACTGAGTGATGAATTATTTTAGGCAGCAGATCTAATAGGAAAATCTGGTCTTGACCTGAATTTAATTACTTATAGATCCCTGTCTATCTTTGAGTTTTCTTGAGAAAATCTGTAATGCTTAACACTGAGTTTTAAAGTATCCTGTATGATTTAATTACTTAAAGTTAATTTTGTAATCCTTCCCATGTCTGGTTAAAAAATGATTTTTCTCAAATATCATTTCAATTGTTTCAGGGTAATGTGCAGAATGTGTGAAATTCCCCCTTATTTTCAGAAAAAAATAGGTCTTTTTGCAGCATTTGTAAGTCTTCCATAATCTCACAATTGTCACTGCATCCTCAATTTAAAATTCTTCCTGACATTCCCAGTTTTGTCCCATCGATTTCTATTGTTCTATGGATTTCTATCATTCTATTTGATTGTTCATACTCTTCTTTGATACCACCCCCACCTTGCAAGTCTTCGGGTTTCTTTCACCTTTTATGGTCTAGCTAAGGATTTATTTTGCAAAAATTAGCCCTCTTTTTTATCCCTATTTAGTCACTTTAAATTCTATGACCACTGAGTTCCTGTAGCATTTAGATAAATGTTAAAGTAATGGAATTTATGAAAATGTTAAGCACTTTACCCTATACCCTGTTTTGTAAGGTTCAGTGTTCTTGACAAATAGTCTGGACTTCAAATACTTGATTATTTAGGATTTGTATACATGATGACCAGGCTTTCCTTTTGATTTTGGCCATATGGCCTCATATCTGTTCTGTAAAAAGTAAATGTAAATTTCTACCTTTAAACAATATCACAAGAAAAAAATATCTTTTTATCCTTACTTTATTTATACTGGGCTTGGGCGTTGTCCTTGTGCTCTTCAGTTCAAGGTGAGCTCTCTACTGCTTGAGCCACACTGTCACTTCTGGTTTTCTGGTGGTTTATTGGAGATAAGAGTCTCATGGACTTTCCTGCTGGGGCTGGCTTTGAACCATGATCCTCAGATCTCAGCCTCCTGAGGTGCTAGGATTACAAGCGTGAGCCACTGGCTCTGCACTATTGTTTTATAGTGTACATACACTACATACACCATAAACACACACACACACATACACACATGCACAGAAGAGAGAAGAGAGAGGGAGGAATGCAATGCAATTTATGATTTTACTTGTACAATAAAATCAAATGGAACAGGTTTTAATATAAGTACACAAGATCAGATATTTTTCATGTTATTTTGCCATTTAGTATGATATTCAGTAATGTAGTTTACAGTATAACTTTAAAAAGCATTCAGAATTTAATAGCTTATTAATACAAAATTATTTCACATTCCTTTAGAAGAGAATATAAATCTGTCACTGAATTATAAAAGAAACTTCCAAACTTAAAATTATGGTTAGTTATTCATTCTCTTCACCATGAGAAAACAGGGGTGCATTAATCTGATCTAAAATTATTGTAGTATATGGCTAACAAAATTAGACCTGTAACCCAAATTATGTTCTGGTATCACTTTCCTACTTATTAGGAAATAGGTTACGGAATATGGTAAATGAGTTTAAGTAAACCACTTTCATAAACCTGATTTTTTTGTGTGCCAGTCCTGGCACTCAATTTCAAGGCCTAAGTATCTGAGCTTCTTTTGCTCAAAGGTAACACCTTACAACTTGAATCACAACACTACTTCCAGCCTTTTTGGTAGAATTAGTGGAGATAAGAGTCTCACAGACTTAACTGCCTGGTTTGGCTTTAAATTGAGATCCTTAGATCTCAGCCTGCTGAGTAGCTTAGCTAGGATTGATTGAGGCTTGACCACCAACTCCCTGGCAAGAACCTGATTTTAGCAGTAAAGATTATGGATCGTATTAATGGAATTATACCACAGTAAAAAATTCACAATAAGTGCTTTTATAAATTAAATTATTGCCTCTTACGCTGTATGTTCTGTAATTATAATGTCAAGAATTCACCAAAACACTACTAATGCCTTTCTAAATGTCAAGTAAGGATTATAACAAGGGTTATAATTTACTATATGCAACACATAAGACACTGAATGAAAGTATTATATCTCTCTGGGTAATTAGAGATGTTCAATTAATGTTGGACAATTGGGTCATTAAGTAATTACACTGGCTCATCTGATGAACAAATTACATAGTAAATCTGCCAATCATTCTTTAGCATGTTTTTGAACATCCTTAATATTGATATTCTTAATGACACACATGTTCAATTCCCTAAAATTCCTTTTAAAATAATAAAAAGCAAACTAGTAAACAAGTTAAAATTGAAGCTGCACTTTTTTGTGAATTAGTAAAGTTAAAAATCTCATTGCTTGAATGAGGAAGTACATTAAAAGTCAGGAAATAGAGGTAGTGGGTATGAGTTCCTTTTGAAAGACAAATAGCTAGGAGCTGATCAAAGGCTCAACCATAACAGTCTAATTTAATGTTAAATTTTACAATTGCTAAAAGTTTTAAGCTATCATGCCATATTTAATAATCACTTAAATAATTTTGTAAAGTGAAGCGTTTTATCATAAAGCTGAGAGTTTCTGAAAATAAAATCCATCACTTCTAGTCTCAGTGTCATCCTTATAATAAGTAATCTGGTGGAATTGGTAAGCAAAATCTAGGCACTGGAAAATTCTTCACCCACCAAACTCACTGAAAACATTAAGGGATGTTTGAGCGGTGTTAGTATATTAAAATAAATTATTGAAATAAGTCTGTAGGTCAAAAGAAAGTCAGATCAGCTGTACAAATTGTTTGTTTATGTTTGCTTCCCCTAACCCAGAGTTAAGAACTAATGCTTAGTTTCTCTACTGTTGACAATGTATGAATTTAAAGAGAGAATTTAGAGCCTTCTTCATGAGCTATAATAGGGGAGCATGCTACTGTACCAGCTGGCATGATGGAAAATTAGAACACTTCAAAATGAAGCCTAAAACTCTATTGTGATAAGAAAACACATCAATGGATCAAACTAGACACTTGAGATGTTTAGCTGTGGGGAGTGCAAATAGTGAATTACAGGATTGAAATGGCCACATTGCTGATATAAATACCTACATTCATACAATCTCCATCAAAATGGAAAAATGCGAGGAAATGGGAAAAAACTAAAACAAAACAAAAATCCTAAATCAAAGGATTCCATATAGCAAAAAATAATCCCAACGAAAAGAATAGTGTTGATGTCATAATAATATCTGAGTTTGAACTAAAGCACAGAGACATTGTCCCAAAAATAGAATGCTTCTGCCACAAAAACAGACATGCATACTAAGGGAGTAGAATATAAGACCCAGAGTATGTCATATTGCTACAGACATCTTATTCTTTTTTTTTCCCAAAAATTTTATTGGGGGAAAACTATAAAACATTTACAGTACAGTGTTTACAGTCACAATTTGTAGTGTCTTATTTTTTTTTAAGGTGCCAAAATATTGATTAAGACAATCTTTAATAGTGCAGAAAACTGGCTATATACTTGTAAAAGATTCAAACAAGAGTCTGTCTCTCATATCAAACTTTTTTCAGAGTA